CAGAGCCGCTGGGGCTGGGCAGGGCTAGAGCCACTCGGCCAGGGCCAGACTGGGCCGCACCATGCCTTCACGAGCCATCCTCCTCGCGTCCTCCCCCACCCCAGCTTACCTGCTGCTGCCTGCCTGCCCCGACTTGTTTTCAGACTTCCCGCGAACATCTGATTTGCAGGAAGCGGGAGGGGGAGGAGCAGGGGGTGGAGCGTTCAGGGGACAGGAGGGGGGGGAAGACAGCTGTGCTTCTTGGGCCGCATGCTAAGGCTGCAAGGGATGTGGGGAGCCGGGAAAGGGCTTTGTCTGCCGAGAGGCACTTTGACACCACCTTTCGGATTATAAATAGCCGACCGGGGGGAAATCCCGGACATTTTTAGAAATCCACCCTGGACGGCTATTTAAAGAACGAAAAGCCGGACATGTCCGGGGAAATCCGGACGTATGGTAGCCCTAAAGAATCTAAGTGACAGAACTCTCGTAAGCTCTGCCTGCCTGTGGAGCCACCCACATTATCTTGTGGGGAGCATTGTACTAGGATTGTTCCTCTTTTGTGTGTGCACGTGTGTGTGTGCACACTTATGTGACAGCCACTATCTTGGCAATCATAGAATATCAGGGTTGGAAGGGACCTCAGGAGGTCATCTAATCCAACCCCCTGCTCACAGCAGGACCAATCCCCAAATGGCCCCCTCAAGGATTGAACTCACAACCCCGGGTTTAGCAGGCCAATGCTCAAACCACTGAGCTATCCCTGCACCCTGTATCTTGGCAAGTACATCAGATTGAAACAGGGACCTCCAGTGCTAAAAGCATGAGCTGCTACATCTTCTTAGCTGGGGCAGTAACAGACTCATATCTCCTATGGATTGGACATAGGGAGGGACCCATAACACACACTTTGATTAGGTGTAAAGTCATTAGTAATCTTGACATTTAAATTGTCATTAGGTATCAGAGTTAACACCCAGATCGCAAGGAGTGGGATCCATTTACATGCCTCAGAGCTATTGTTTCCGGCTGCCTGCAGACTCAGACAGATGGCACCACGTTGGTTCACATTCTTTGCCATCAAAAGTGCTAGAGACTTTTTTCTTTTTAAAGCAACACCATCAACTTAGTAATCACTTCTCTGTCTGACCTCCTTTGATATAAATAATACCTAAAAGGACTATAACTGTGTAAGCAGGGCTTGCCTGCCAGAGCACCCTTCTGTGGCTGGCCACAGTGCAACAAGCAAGTCCTTCCTTGGTTTCCCCAATAGTGCCCAGCACCAACTGAGTTGCCCAACTTCTCCACCACAGACCAGACCAATGGTTACCTTCTCTGCCCGGGAAAAGACTGTTGTCCCTTTCAGAGGCTAATACAAACCCTGCAGCCTGGCGTAATTTAGTAGTTTCAGCCTCCAGCAGATCCCTCAAAGTCAGACCCCTCCCTTTCTACCCCTCAGAACATAATTAGTAAAAATGCAGCAGTTCTCCAGCCCCACCCATATTCCAGGGCCCCCACCTCTGGCCACTGTCTGTGCTGCTTACAACTCTCCTGCAGCCCTCACGTCCTTGTAAGAGGGCTCCCGGTCCCCTCCACTGCCCGGTCCCTTTGCCTGCAAGTCCTGCCCCTGCCCATAGGACTCTCCCTCCAAAATCCAGGCTTGGCCTGCTCTGCCGGAGCTGGTTCTTTCCCTTTACCAAGGTGCCCCTGCAGGAGCCAGCTACTCAACAGGCTTTTCCTGCTCTCACCTGTTAGCACTCCACTACTGCTCCTTCCTCTCCCCCTGCTGCCTGGCTCTTAAGAGAGGCCAGGTGCTCTCACTCAGGCTTGCCAAGTGTCTGGTTTTCCACAGAACACCTGGTCAAAAAGGGGCCCTGGCTGGCAGCTCTGGTCAGCACTGCTAAAAGTACGGGTAGCGGCCCAGCAGGGCTAAGGCAGGCTCCCTGGCACCATGCAGCTCCAGCGGCTGGCATGTCTGACCCCTAGGTACAGGGGTGGCCATGGGGCTCTGTGTGCTGCCCCTGCCCTGAGCGCCAGCTCTACAGCTCACCTTGGCTAGAAACTATGGGCACAGGCAGTGCGCAGAGCCCCCCGGCCCCTCTGCCTAGGAGACGGGCAGGCTGGCCGCTTCTGGGAGCCACCTAAGGTAAGCGCTGCCTAGCCGGAGCCCGTACCCTGAACTCCTCCTGTGTCCCAACCCCCTGCCCCCAGGTCAAAACCCCCTCCTGCAGCCCAACCCCCTGTCACAGCCCTGAGCCGCCTCCCACACCCTAAACCCCTCATTTCTGGCCCCATCCTGGAGCCTGCACCCCCACCCCCTTGTCCCTGCCTGGTGAAAGTGAGTGAGGGTGGGAAGAGCGAGGGATGGAGTGGAGTGGGGGGGCTCAGGGCAGGGGCAGGGCAAGGGTGTTTGGTTTTTTTGTGCTATTAGAAAGCTGGCAACCCTGCACTCAGGCCCTTGCTGGAGGTGGACTGGACCTGTTCCTGCTTAAAGGGCCAGTCACCCGGTGACAAATTGGAAGCGATTTGGGAAAAGAGCTCTCACCTTTTTTGGTTTCAGTTTGTTGCTTTGGGCCCAGTCGAGCTTGCTGTTGCCCTGCACATTCATTAAGGAGTCACTTTTCCCTGTCGTTTCTCTAACCGTAACATGGGGGAGAAAAAACTCCCCCATAAAACGAATTGGAAACCTGTGAGTGTGAACCCACAATCTCTGTTTGGGCACCAGGCAGGCTGTGGATTAGAAACCACTTTCCGCTCATCCTCTGGGATAGATCAGGGTGGAACTGGGGGAAAAGCTAGTGCTCATGGCTCTGTTCCCCCAAGGCCAGCCCTGAAATTAGCTCGGTTGCCTGCTGACTGCGCATCCCTTGACATGAAAGTGTCCATTTGGAGCACAGGGTGGTGGTCGCTGAGGAGAAGTGCTGGCTTGTGCAGCTGGCAGTGGCCCAGCCCATGACAGGGGGTCCAAGTAAACGTGGCATTTGCAGTAAGAACAAGGGTGGTGCCCTTGTATCTCCAGGGTTCCGTACCCAGTCCGGCGTACCCCTTTCGGCATCCCCGGTGCCACTGATGGCAATGGAGGCTGAAGAGAAGTTAGCAGAGTTCCATCAGGGGCCAGGTGCGGCGCTGCCACTCGCCCATTTGTTCCTCCCCTGCAGGAAAATGCCTGAAAGAGAAGACGACTACCTGACCCCTGCCACCCGCCTGCTGGAGAAGAGGAGGGAGCTGGCAGAGGTGGAACAAGCCCTGTTGGCACAGAAAGAGGTAAACCCAGCTGCACAGGGCCTTGCCCGGGCTGTGCCTGTTAATTTGAGGTTCATGATTCCTAAATGGTGGGGTCCCTGGATGGGCGAGGGGCTGGGGTGGGGCATCAGGGCCTCGAAGGAGGTTGAGAATGGAAAGCGAGTCCTTACTGTTTTCATGTCACTGGGCTGCACTGTGGGGAGTGGCTGGTCACTTCCTGAGGGCTCAAGGGCAGAAGGAGAGGGGCACAATGCAATCAGTGGAGAAAACTCCTGCTCTAAAGAAACCCAACCTCACTGGACTGGAGCTGGTTGGGAAAAATGCTTCCCCACGCCTCCCACCTCCCCATGGAAAATTGCAGTTGTTCAGAGAAAATTCAAATAACTAAAAGATTTTGGCCCAAACCTGAAAAGTTTAGCGGCAAAAAATGCTGCTGCAGTTTGTAAAGCACTATCGGTTACTTTGGTGTTCCAGTGTTGATTACAATAAACGTGATTTTGCCCAGCATTGATCGGCCTATTAGTCTGATATGCCACAGTGTGGCCAAGTATGTACGTAGTGAGAGAGAAGAGTACAAAATGCTTTGGTGATGTAATAATAGTTACAGAAATAACGAGCAGAAAACAATCAAACAGGACATTTAGAGAATTGTGTAATAGAGAGAGATTTAATGTAATGGCCGAGCAGTGGCAGGGGAGAGGGACTAAGAGATGGGCAAGGGGAAAAAGCTTTCAGATGAGATTTTTAAGAGTTGGCAAGTCCGTTAATGAGATGGCAGTTGCTGCAGAGGAGAAGGCCCCTGCACCAGCAGTGGCCATCACTGGATCCTCAGTATTAGATCAAGTGTGTCCGTAAATGTTTTGGATGGAACCTAGAATGTTGTTTAACGGGGGTTTGTCCTGACTCATAGGGCCCCTCACTCTGTCCCCAGGCTCCCCACCCCTCGGACTCCCATACATGCTCTGTCCTGCAGGCCAGATGTTCCTGCATAGACAAAAAAGGTGTGTATTTTGTTCTGTGACTACACAGCACCTAGCAGTGGGGTCCTGGTCTGCTAGGCATTACCACAATACAAATAATTGCCACTAACAATGGTCCAGATCCTCAAGTATTTAGGTGGCTAATTCCCATGGAAGCCCCCAGTCTAGCAGGCAATGCAGCTTGATATTCAGCTCCACTGTGACTGCTACGGCCGACCCAAGGGACAGTGACAATGGTGGTGCCCTGGTATACCCATGCAGCCCTGATAACGCTGGCCAATCCTTTGGACATGGAGCTACAGGGGATTAAGAGGAAACAGGGACTAGATCCACCAGAGTGCCAGGGAGGGCTTTGCACAGAGCATTTAGTCAGCACTCCGCTCCTTGGTTCTGTATAACTGCTGCCACTTGGGCTGATAGCAAGGCAGGAACCTGGGACCTTCAGTGCTAAAAGCATGATTCTCTGCTGCTTGTGCTGAAGGGCTAACTCCCTCAGTTGGTAGCACTAGTAGGCTTGAATCCTTGTATGTGGATGAGCCATTAGAAGGAGACCGTAAGGCCCACATTCTGGCAGCATGTTACCCTCACTCTACAGAACACTCCGCATTAGGCAGACCTGCTGCTACTGTTCCAGCACTGCAGGGGGTGCAGCCTTGAAGCCCTCTCTTCCCAGACGCTGAGCCCCCTCACCCAAGCCCAGGTGCTCTGAGGGTCCTTGCCCCCCTGTTGGTGAAGGCTCAGGAAGGATTGCTTGGGCTGGCCCCACCTCCTGACTGGCCTTGTCCTGGCCTCCTGTAGGAGTTCCAGATGAAGATGGAGAGCCTGCAGCAGCGCCGGAAGGAACTGCAGTACAAGGAGGGGCAGCTCAAGGAGGCCATCTTCAAATTTGACAAGTTCTTAAAGGTACAAGTCCCACATGGAGATCCCGGGGCCGGGAGGAAAGCCTGCTGGCTGGGATGGAGATGGACTGTACCTGGAAGGTATTGCTCTTGCCAAACTAAACTGCAGAGCAGGTGTTTGTCAAATCCATTTCCTCTGGATCATAGAATCAATCATAGGACAGGAGGGGAACTCGAGAGGTCATCTAGTCCAGTCCCCTGCACTAATGGCAGGACTAAGTATTATCCCTGACAGGTGTTTGTCTAACCTGCTCTTAAAAATCTCCAATGATGGAGATTCCACAACCTCCCTGGGAAATTTATTCCAGTGCTTAACCACCCTGTCACTCAGGAACTTTTTCCTAATGTCCAACCTAAACCGCCCTTTCCCCAATTTAAGCCCATTGCTGCTTGTCTTATCCCCAAAGATTGAGAACAATTTTTCTCCCTCCTCCTTGTAACAACCTTGTTATGTACTTGAAAACTGTTATGTCCCGTCTCTGTCTTCTCTTCTCCAGACAAAACAAACCTAATTTTTTCAATCTTCCCCCATGGATCAAGTTTTCTAGACCTTTAATCATTTTTGTTACTCTTCTCTGGACTTTCTCCAATTTGTCCACATCTTTCATGAAATGTGGTGCCCAGAACTGAAGTATTGCATTCAGTTGAAACCAAACTCAGCGCAGAGTAGAGCGAAAGAATTACTTCTCATGTCTTGCTTACAACACTCCTGCTAATACATCCCAGAATGACGTTATTGCTTCCCCCCCTCCCCCCAACAGTGTTACACTGTTGACTCCTATTTAGTTTGTGCGTCTCTATAACCTTCAGATCCCTTTCCCCAGTACTCCTTCCTAGGCAGTCATTTCCCATTTTGTATGTGTGCAACTGATTGTTGCTTCCTAAGTGAAGTAATTTGCATTTGTCCTTATTAACTTTCATCCTATTTTCTTCAGACCATTTCTCCAGTTTGTCCAGATCATTTTGAATTTTAATCCAGTCCTCCAAAGCATTTGCAAATCCTCACAGTTTGGTATCATCCGCAAACTGCCATTATCCAAATCATTGATGAAGATATTGAACAGAACTAGACCCAGAACTGATTCCCGTGGGACTCCACTTGTTATGCCCTTACAGCATGACTGTGAACCACTGCTCCCTGGGAATGACTTTCCAATCAGTTATGCACCCATCTTATAGCAGTTCCATCTAGGTTGTATTTCCCTAGTTTGTTTGTTTTATAAGAAGATCATGCGAGACAGTATCAAAAGCCTTACTAAAATCAAGATATACCACGTCTACCGCTTCCCCCCACCCACAAAGCTTGTTACCCTGTCAAAGAAAGCTATTTGTTTTTGATAAATCCATGTTGACTGTTACTTATCTTATTATCTTCTAGATGTTTGCAGATTGATTGCTTAATTGTTGCTCCATTATTTTTCCAGATACTGAAGTTAATCTGCCTGGTCTGTAATTCCCTGAGTTGTCCTTTTTATAGATAGGCACTAGATTTGCCCTTTCCAGTTGTCTGGAATCTCTCCCATCTGCCATGACTTTTTGAAGATAATCACTAATGGCTCAGCTATCTCCTCAATCAGCTCCTTGAGTGTTCAAGTCACCAGGGCCTGATGAATTCCATCCTAGAAGACATCCAACATGTCTCAGTAATTTTTAACTTGTTCTTTCCCTATTTTAGCCTCTGGTCCTACCTTGTTTTCATTGGCATTCACGATGTCAGATGTTCAATTGCTACAAACCTGTTTGGTGAAAACAAACAAAGTCATTTAGCACATCTGCCATTTCCCTCATCATCCAAATTCCTCAGCACATCCAGGCACACTAATGACCTCAGCCACAGAGTCTTGCAGCTACCAGGATCCAGTTTGGGCTCTGCTCTCAGCCACACATTTTGGTTCCAGACTCTAGGTGCATTTGGATCCAGGGTTCTGGTTCTGCCCATTTCTGATTCCCTAACGTACACAGACAGTGCAACTTATCAGTGGGGATTGAATCAGGGATCTAGAGCAGAAGCTACAACAGCTCGAGCTAAAGGAGCAGCTTCTCCAGTAAGGTGTCAGTAGAAGGTTGTTATCCTAACACAGATCCCTCTGGTGTGGCAGCAGTGCTACACAACAAGCATGCGGGCTCAGCGTGGTGGGGAGCTTGCCCTTTAACATTACCTGGTTCCCTGTGTTGTGGGTGGCAGGACAATGACTCCAAGCGGAGCCGGGCGCTGCACAAGGTGAGTGAGCAGCGGGAGCAGGTGGTGCAGAAGGTCGTGGAGGCCATGCGGTTGCGCCAGGAGATTGCCCGGCTTCTCGTGGAGAGGGACAGGCTGCAGCGGCGCCTGGAAGCCCATGCCATCTTCCGGAGTTTTCTCCAGGGGGTGTTGGAGAAGACAGAGCAGGTGAGGGGGGACTCTGCAAGGAGCTGCTGGGGGGGGAGGAGGGTCAGGAGCAGGGGGCACTACCTGCCTCTAGATGCCCCCATGTCAACTTCCCCACTCCCCATGGTCTACCTGATCCCCTCCCCAGCTCTGCACTGGCCCCTTCCCAGTTACTGACCTTCCCTGTGCTGGAAAGCACCCTGACACCCCCTGCAAGTGCTCAGTCCCTCCCCAACTGCTAAAGTCCCCAGACAAGTGCTGGCATTTCCTCTCCCAGGTTCCCGCGCCACCCCCCCAATGCCCTGGCCCACTGCTGTTACCGAGCCACCCTGACCTCCAGTGCCAGCAACAAGTGACCTGAGTACTGTTTCCGGGCCACAGCATCCATCAGCCACAACCTCCCCTCAGCTGCAGCACCCCTCACCCCACTACCTTGTGTCCCCTCACAGCCGCAGCACCCCTCCACACACTACCCCGCACCCTCTCACGGCCACAGCACCCCATGCCCCCACAACTGCCCTGCAACCCAAAACTGCTCCTCACAGCTGCAGCACCCCCCACTCCAGTACCCCGTGCCCCCTCACGGCCACAGTACCCCGTCGCCCACAACTGCCCCGTGCTCCCTCATGGCCACAGCACGCCCTTCACCCATAGCTTCCCTTCATGGCTGCAGCACCCCCCACTCCAGTACCCCGTGCCCCCTCACGGCCACAGTACCCCGTCGCCCACAACTGCCCCGTGCTCCCTCATGGCCACAGCACGCCCTTCACCCATAGCTTCCCTTCATGGCTGCAGCACCCCCCCACCCACACACACACAGCTGACTCACACCCCTTCATGGCCCCGGCACCCGCCCCCCACATTTGCCCCACGCCTCTTCAAGGCCACAGCACCTCCCCCTCCTCCCCACAGGTGCCCTGCACCCCCTCACGGCCGCAGACCCACAGGTGTGTCTCACGGCTGCAGAACCCATGCCCCCTCATGGCCGTGGCACCCATCCTCCACAATTGCCCTGTGCCACAGCACCTTCCCCCACAACTGCCCCGCGTCCTCTCACGGCCGTGGCACCCGTCACCTACAACTGCTCCCCACGACTGCAACACTCTCCCCACAACTGCCCCACACCCCATCATGGCTGTAGCTCCCCCCAACTGCCCCATGCCCCTCATGGCCACAGCACCTGCCCCCAGGATGGCAACATCCTCCCCACAACTGCCCCGCACCTCCTCATGGGCGCAGCACCCTTCCCCCTCATGCCCCAGCACTGCCCCACCACTCCTCAGGGCTGCAGCACCTGTCACCACAACTGCCCTGGTCCTCTCAGCCAGAGCAACCTCCCCACCCCCGCCAAGTGCTCTGATCCCTCCCCAGATGATGCCCTTGGGGAGGTTTGTAGCCTGAAACGGGTGGTGCTGAAACAAGCTAACCCTGCCCCCCACGTCCTGCCCCTTTATGGATGAGGAGGTGGCCTCCCCTGGGTTAAGCGGTGCGGGAACACGCCATGCTCTGCCTGCAGCGCCAGCTGCTCTAGGAAAGCCACTAGGCCCCTCAGGCTCGACCCAGCCACTCGGTAACCTCGTCTGTGGGAAGGGGCCCCAGTGCAAGGAGTAGGGTGGGAGGTGGCTGGTTCTGGCTCAGATCCCAGTGACTCATGGTGACTTGGACACTCCACCCAAACCTGCTAGAGCAAGATGCACAGGGGATGCTGGTGCACAGGGGGCAGGCAGGGAACGAAGCATCACAGGGTGGGGGAGGTCCCTGTCCCAAAGCAGAGATGCACTCGGTGTAAAACGGGACAGCCGAGCCCTGCTCATTCAAATCAGCGTAACCCCCTTGCGCCACCTGTGAAAGGGACTCCGTTCCCAGGCTGCAGGCCTGCCCCTCTGTCCTGAATGAGCCCCCCTAAACCTCGGCCTCCCCCGTTGTCCCTTCCTCCCCCACCGTCCCCTCTCCGGGCAGTTTCAGGACATCCAGCCGCTGATTGACCGCTTCAGGACGCTGAGGGCCACCCAGGCGGTGCTGGTGCAGCAGGACCTGGGGAGCCGGGAGGCGATGGCGGAGACACAGGCCCAGCTCCAGCAGTACCTGGCGCAGAGCAACACCCAGGTCATGCAGCTCAACAACGAGCTGGCCCTGCTGCAGGCCCAGCGGGAGCAGGCCCGGGCCAAGGTGCACCAGTGGGTACGTGGGGAGACTGCAGCCCTCCAGCATGCCAGGGGCAGAGGGGTGGGGGACTGTCAGGAGGCTCCACTGGCCCTATGAAACTGGGGCATGGGGCAGGTTCCTAGGGGCTCCTTCGGCCTTGTGGGGCAGGGACGTGTGGCCAAGTCCCGGGGCGCTCTCAGCCTCCGTCAGTGGCCCCAGTGACTCCCACACCACTTCCACGATGGGCCCTGCTGCCTGAAGGCCACCGCCCACCCGCATTGACCTACCCTGAGCTGGAGGGGGTATTGGCCACAGCCCTGCTCTGCCGTCCCTCCCCAGCTGGGCCCTTGCTCGCTGCCAGCTCGGCGGGGCTGGGAGTCCATCCAGAATGGCTCCTGCCTTCCCCCTCGCTTTCCCGAAATAGAACATGTGTGAATCCGGGGGGGGCTGAGTGAGCTGGGCCCGGTTCCAGCCTCGCCCATGCAGCATGCTGGTGCCTCCAGTGAGCAGGCTGGAGAGCAGGGTGGCTGGTGATGTAGCCCCTGCGAGCAGGGTGCTGAGAGAGGGATGGGGGTGCAGCAGGTGCAGAGCAAACAGTGCAGGGGTAGGATCAGACCAACTTGGTGTGTCTATAACCCCTGTGCTAGGCCCAGGCATGAGCCTGCAGGGTGCAACACTTTCCCCCCCCCCCCAACCCCATCCCCCCTCACGAGCCT